TCAAGCCTTTCACTTTAGTGATAGCGTAGGCACGTTTTTGTCTTATATCGTTGTTTTTCTTAAAGAGCATTCGTCGCTTTCAGCAGCACTGGCTCTCTCCAGGTATTTTGACATTACAGCTGTAGACACGATGGAGGAGTTGAGGGAAAGGCATATGACGTGTGCCGTGTGGCTTCGGCTTCGTTTCAAGCCGTATGAACCAACCACCTCAACTTCTGTTGGAGAGACAGCTTGTTCAGAATTTCTATGAACTTAAACAACAGAAGATCAAGCTGCCGACTCCAGCGTTATTAGGTATTGCGTTGTGAAATAAATGGTACTGTTTAGCCGACTGGTTTATACTGTAGAACAAAACGCCATCAGTGCTTCATCTGTCCATATTGGTTCCATTAAGAGCGAGCGATTTCTACTTCGTCTCAGCTTTAAGCAATCATTCTATAGCTTGAATTTCTCCAAATTCAACACTATATTTGAATTTCGCAAGCGACTTATCGGTGCGCTCTTGCAGAAAGAACAATATAACGTTTCACCTTTGACGTGGTATTTTAGCTCAGCTAGCATCTGTAAATATTTAGGCAGAATTTTAGTACACGTCCGACAGCTTACAAAAACGGTGATTCTGAAACATCATGTTGTTGCTAAAAGGATCTGTACAGAGCAAAAGTAGTATCACATTTCGTACTAAGAGATATGAGCCCCAAACACATATTAACATGTACCATGTCATATCAAGAGAATTGTCGAGTATCAAATGATTGAAAAATTTAGATGGTCATCTAGAGTTATCATACGCTCTATGCTGTATATAAGGATATCACCAAATATGGTTCTCCATTTGAAGAGTGCTCCTCGAAGAGGTTTCGACGCGAACGAAGCGAAGACAAAGAGAATACAAAAGGTGGATTAAATGAGCGAACAAAGTAAACTAACTGAACGCTAAGAGAGCGCTATTATTAGAACGCAACTGTTGAAAGATTGGGCCAAACAACAACGTGACATGGGGAGAGCACAGGCAATTATCGTAAGTTTCTCGGCAAAACCTAAATTGCCGCTTCATCGTTATTCATTGATAGGTCCTTCTGTGCAATAGGTTGTAGAAAAAGTTCTGCTGTGTTTGCGTGAGAGCATTATTTCTACACATGTATTTTGTACGAAAAAGCCCAAAAGGTTCGTTTTTCAAAAATCAAGCGATGTATCATTTGTCTGCACGACTTGCAGAATGGAACTGTTCAGCGAAAAAATTCGTTGCTGGGTTTTTTCGAATCAAGAGGGAACAAATGAAAAACCGACCTTATGCTCTTAAAAGGATCTTTTCATAGGAGTGTGAGTGACCATTCGAAGGTTGAGACATGAGGCTACAGCCACAAGCCGACGGTTTTTCAAAACACCCCTTCGTAATTATGTATCATCTAGAAAAAGAATAATGCTTCATTTCTGCCGTGCTCCTTCATTTCTATGCACGTATAATTTTGCGGAAGCAGAAAAGCATATCCATGTGCAGAGAAATTTTCGTAGTATCTTGCCTAATAGTTTTATCTTGATAATCATTATTTGAGCCACGCATGTCAGTGGTCTGTTAATGAGGGCTGACTTATAGAGCCCGATACACGTGTTTCGATCTTGCGATCTCGTCAGTCGGGCAGTTACCCGTTCTCGTCTTTTGCTAATCTCTGTGGGTGCTCCAGTCCCCACAATAATGATTATAAAATCCAAATCCCAAATAATGATTATCAGGCATATTGTAATTTGAGCTGTGGTCTTAAGAAAACACTCGAAATGCAGGATAAGTTTTATCTTGAATTTCTCTCAAACTGGAGGAAAAATTCGCAAGTCAAACAAAACGTCTATCGCCCCGCCTCGTCCCGCCCCTGCGACGGCCCTCGTCTTGTCGAATAGCCTGCAATGCAGCGTTGCCAAAAATTCAAAACTCGATTTTATCTTCCCTTATTTCCAAAAGATAAGCACATCGCTAGAATTAGAAATCATAATGCCATCAGATGTTTACTGAGAGTCTGAAGAAAGAGATCTGTCCGGCAAGGTTTGATGCACAAATTAAAGGGCCACGAAGATCACCTGATAAAAAGAGCTTTTTGAAAAGCAAACACATTTTTGAGTTCATTGAAGTTGTGCCATAGTTTGAGTGCTGACACTCTGACGAATGAGTTTATCCCGCGAAATATAAGAGAGATAAGAGAAAAACACGCATATTTATGAAACAGTCTTTGTTTTGGATGTTACAGCGTTATAAAGAAATGTTACAAAGAACCGGCGACATGTGGCTGTATCCTCACGTCTCAGCTTCCGATTGTACTACCACTCCTATAAAAAGTTGTTCTCTAGCAAATAAGATTGATTTTTCATTTGCCCTTCCTAATCAGAATGGATTCGCTGCTGTTCCACTTCCACTACAAATAGGGTGTCAACGCTTCTGAGGTTACCTGCCAAGCATATGATGGGGAATTTGCGAAATTCTTACAGTTTAGCACCAGTTCAAGGCATTTCGTGAGGAAGGAGACCGATTGGCGATTCGATAGAGCACTTTTTGAGAGACCAAAAAGTTTCGAAATATCCTCGAAATTGAGCAGAATCTCCAGAATTCCTTCAAGTTGAAGATCGTGTGCCGGATATGTGGCCGAATTGTCTTGATGTGGAAGGAAACTACTTTGACTATTAATTTATCTTTTGCTTAAGCTTGATTCGTTTACAAATGGATTTTTTCTATGCATTCTGAAAATGCGGCGAAACCTTATCCGGAGCCTATTATTTCTGATCTAACTTCAAAGATGCACCAAGGAGCCACAAATTTTCAGACCACATGATCTGACTACGTTTGGATAGGACGTTTCTCATATATACACTGATACGGAGAAAAATTTTCGCACTGCCTGGAGAGTCTCAAGTTTTTCTTTCGAAAGAGAGACTCAAAGTTCAAAATGAAAAATTGCAGTTACACTGAGGAAAGGAAAATACAATATGCTAACTAATTCTTGCTGCGAAGAAAGTGAGCCAAGAAAACTCCGCGAGCATTGCGTTCATGGATTGAAAAAATTAACATATCAAGCAATTTGGTTTCTTTTATCTTTGTCGCAACGTTGAGTTATATTATACAAATGGACGTGTTACAAACGAACAAATCCATTTCTGCTTACATGCCGGAAATTTCTGAATGATGAATCCTATCAGTAGTGTGACGATCGATTACACAAGAGGCTTGAACATCATGACATTTCGACTTAAACAAGAGAATCAGATTTTACTGTTTTCTCTCTATTTTCGCATGAAGCAAACTCATGACCATGCTGACCATACACAGGTGCAGTAGAGCAGTGCTCTATCGTGTGTCCTATAACGTAGTGGCTAGAGGCTCCTGACAGTACACACGTGATCATCGGTTCGGTCCCTCTTGTTGGCTCACCGGGGATCACATCCACCCGGTTTAACAACTTGTATTAGATTCTAATTAGTACAGGATGGTAGTCATGTGTACGCACATGTCTGTGGATGTACATACTTGTGCCACTGTTTTACCTCACGTCGGTTCAGTTAAAGCCACGTAGATATTTTACTGCTCCTTTCCTGAATCATTTGATAATCAGAGTCAATTCAGGTGGAACAGTGAACCGCATGATGATATATCTCGTTTTGCGGTTAGAGTGAAAATTCTATTTATATATGCAATGCGAAAAGCAGCGGAAATTCAGTTAAGGTCCCAAAGTATCTCGAAGGCTGACAAAAAAAGATGCAATAAGAATACAATAACATGATGGGTCCTATGGCCTGTTGAAAATCATGAGTAATTACTTAGTTGTCGTCTATCCAAATTAAACACCATAATGCTTATCAGTGCGCACACCATAACTATGAACAGTGTCATTCGGTCACTCAGAAAGGCATTAAAATGCCTGCCGACATTCAGTGTAGAATAAAACAGCACCTATTGTTCGTCTTTGTCTACGTCGATTTTATATTCACACTAAGACAAAATTGTAAAGTGGCTGCTTAAAAGTCCTAGATTTTTACTTAAATCCTACCCGATTTAAAGAATTGAATCAAAAGCTATGAAGCTTGAAATGTAACAAAACTTTGAGGATTATCCACTACAAACATGCGACACAATTAGACCAACAGACACTTTCAATAATGGTGAGAACCACGACACGACGGCGATTAAGTTAGGTTGGTAATTATGGGCCTGTGGAGATGTAAACGACATTTCTACTTGATTATCCTTCAAACTGCAAAAACTATCCGAAGTCCTACAAGAAGTAATGAGGAAAAGTAAGATAGGTCAAAGGGTTGTAATGGTTGTTAGCGAATAGTCTACAATGACTGCGGTTAGTGATATCAACGAGCAGACGATTTCCCTGTAACTTACCCTCAAAATTTTATTTTTGATATTTTTCAGGTGAAAAACAGCACACTATCTGAAGTGTAAGTGTAAGTTCGTATCGCTTTTCCCAATTTTCGGTGAATTAATAGATGGATTCCGAGAAACAACTCTTTTTAGGACGATATTTCTTAGCACTTCGTTCCTTCGGAGTTCACAAATACCTAATAGACTTGTCAGGAAAAGTGGCAGCAATGAATTGTTACATCAGTAGGCTACCGTAAATCGTTGTATGTAAGCCACGCATGCATTGTGTCATCTCTACGAAATACTATGTAGTTGAGTGTTTAGCACATCTCTCAGCGGATGATCTGCAGCACACGCTTCATGTTTGCAATTTCATTTCGTAATGCGAAGAGTTCAGTCTCACTATTTTCTTATATCACTGAACTATACGAGATCGTTATGAAAGGATAAGGTATTAATCATTAATAAGATTATTATCTTCCCAATAATGTAAAGTGATGTGCAAAAGTGTTTGCGTCAGCCGCATTCGAACCCGGACTTCACCCTATCGGGTCGCAATGTCAATAGTGACTGCCAACACCAGACCGTAGACGGTGGGCTGTTGACAGACAACTCGTTTTGCGTAAAAAGAGTGGTGTCAAAACGGGCGTTCGGTAGTGCAACGGTTCAGCATGCGCTCATGGATAGCGTGAAATCTGGGTTCGAATCCCAGCTGACGTAAATGTTTTTGCACACCACTTCACAATATTGGGCTTACTGTAGCATTATACTATCGCAATAGGCTGCCAAATAAAATGAATTATGATATTCGTCTCAATCCCTCACTTGCACCATTCCTATGCATATTATCTTTACTAAAATGGGATATCAATGTTTCTTCGGTCAGCTGGGTAATTGGCACTGATCCTCCGCTTCCTCTCGGTAAGTTCAGAGGACGGTAGATTTCAGTTTTCTAGCATAGCTAAGAGCAAATGTACACGTTCATGGCAGAGCTTTGCGAGATTCTCAGGAATTTTTATCTCTTCAGGTTTAGTAGAACTGGAGCTCGCAACATAAACGTGGGACTACCAGGGTTTCTCAGGCGGACAGAGCTATCTTGACATCTAGTGACGTCGACAACATGGAAATCTACTAGAGCACATCAAAATTACAAGTTTTTTCGCATTATTGTTTTGATCAGTTTTTTTGTATTTCAGTTGAAGTAATGCAAAAAGGCTGTGCTATGCTGGAAAATGTTCTAGTGGTGTGTGTATACATTCATAACACCACTGCTCTCAGTCTAAATGAATTGGCCGACCACAAAATGATGTCTTGATGGACATTTCACGCATCGAGCGACCACGATCGCGCTGCATGCGTGAGCAACTGCGAAAGACTCCTTCAGCAATTGAACAGACACAACATTCTGAGGTTTATCATTATTGGGCATGAGTTCCAGATCGACCACGAGACAGCACGCGCGTGCTTACTGGCTTTCCACGGTGATGACTCGTCAGCTGAACTAAAGCTCAAGATCCGTGCTTGAGATATTATGCTTCGATTTTTTGAGAATGAGGGCGTATGCAGTCTTGGAAATCGCTTAAAGGAAGCAAGCTAGGAATATCAACGTCTATGTTGAACATCCGGAAGCTGGCCTTAGAAAAGGGATAGAAGCGTTTGGAACGTGTGGAGACAGTGGGCGGAACCACGGCATCACATCCATCGTATAATAGTGATATTGGCCGTAGTCTCTTCCACGCCCTACAACCAGCTCAAAAATAAGCTCGGCTATTTTTCTGATTTCTGGCCCCAATCTTTCTAGGAGGAAGGTTTCCAATCTGTGCCCAACAAATGGTTGCATATCAATAGCCACGATTGTGTTTTTTTTTTCCTGACTAACTGATTTCTTTAAGGAATTAGCAATTGAATTAGCAAAATGTAGAATTGTGAGAAAATTAGGGGTTAACTCAATGATATTCGTGCAGTCACAATTTCACGGAAAAGTATTGTCTTTAGGTAGTATGCGCAATCACTATTGTTACACACCGTGAACATCGGAAATATAGGAAGATCAAAATAACCAATAACTTAATAATACTAAGTTGATTCATAACACTACGATACAGTGAAAATATTTATGATATTGATATTGATAGTAATACTACGGATAAAGCGAAGAAATCCATTGTAAAGGTCGCTTACAGCAGCATCCATCAAATCATAGTGTTCAAAACCTGAAGTTTTGCACTCTACTAAGTTTTTTTGGCTCAAAATACTCTATTGGGATTCCGTCTTTAGGTCTAAAGTAAATTGTTTGGGGGACCACTATTTGGGACCATGTTATTCGGCCGTCTTTTCGAAAATAATCTGTGTCTTTCTCGTCTCCAGCTCCGGCATTCCATGTTCGGCGGCCCTCTCGAGAATAATCTGTGTCTTCTTCGCTTTTAATTTTATAGTACCACGGGTACCATATTCGCTCGTCCTTTCGAGGGTAAGATATATACTGCTCGTTGGCGTCGCGTTCATTCGGGCAATCGGAAAGTATAAACACGTTAATTATCAACAAACAAGTCCAGTCATTCTACGTTATAGCAGTAGAACAATGCTTCGCTAATACTAAGACTAAAATACTAACTGTTTTCTTTGCGTTGTAGCTCTGTCGAACAGCACACACCGTACTGAATAGAAGAAATTATGGTAAAATAGAACATTGAACTCATTGTAAGATATGTTTTTGCCTATATTTTTTTGAGGATTCATGGCCGTATCAAAATTATTGTACAACGAACAATATTGAAATCAAACGGAGATAGTAGACCTGTCAAATTACCTATTTGAATATTACATGTAAATTTGGATTTTTCTGCAAACACATTCCCTTTATGTTTTTTTCTGACCATTACTTGCAGTCTATTCGCCTCTTTTATCAGTCATCCATGCTGATACCATGCGGCATATATTGGGTCGCCCCAAATTTTTTCGCATCTCGACAATTTTGTCAGCTTACTTTCTACTTAATCAAAGAAATCCATTGATCAACAATACATTTACCATTATGGTAATGATATGCAATCATGTGCTTGGCAAATACTCAATGCCTTCCGCCCCGAAAGAATGAGGCTGGCGATCAAAGAAGATGGTGAGATCACATCTGAGGAGGCTCCAGTTTTTGATCTTATCTCTAACGCAGATTTTGTCTCAGGGTGAAAAAGTAGTGATAGTCCGATCGAGCATTATTAGGCCTCTATGGTGGAGGTCACCTCTTTGAGGGATCCCGCCCGGTTAGTCGCGAGGGCACGTGGCGCGTCCCCACGTGGTGGATAGGGGAAGAAAACGCGAACCAAAAGCGACCGTGTGGTTCCCAGAGGCGCAGGTGGATTCAGAAGACGAGCTCCCTGCTTCTGCAGCGTCGAATTGACAAAAACTCTATTTCTACGGGTCAAGTCGGCCAAAAGCCTGCAATCAAGCGGCTGGGAAGTACATGGGAGGCGGTTAGGAGTCGCCTCCAACAAATAAGCTCCTCCCGCTCCTCCGAGAGATACTGGCAAGCTACTCGTGAGTACCCAGTCCCCACGTTTAGAGCCTGGCAAGCTACACGGTGGGTATCAAAATGCCAAAAACAGTAACAAATATGGGCCTCATTTTCCTGACCCCGAAAGAGTCCCTGGTACGACAGCGCCAGGTAGGACGAGTACGGAGAGGCTGCTAAAATTTCAGGGCCGAACTAGGCTGCCAAGATTGAAACGGACTAAAATGACAATCTGTACCTACAACGCAAGAACCCTTGCTCACCAATCCGCAGTAGAAGATCTATTGATTCAAGCAAGAAGAATAAGGTACGACGTCATTGGTCTGGCTGAGACGAGAAGTCGCCATCCTTTTCACGCTGTCTATGACACCGGAGAAGAACTGTTCCTTGGAACATGCGATCGCAGAGGTGTCGGTGGCGTTGGCGTCCTCGTCAAATTGAATTTGACCGTGAGCATTGATTCGTTTGAACAACTAACAACCCGTATCGGACGATTACGGTTGAAGCGATGTGGTTCTATGCCGGCTTTGACCATCTTCGTTGCTTACGCATCAACATCAAGCTATGACGAAGACGAAGTCCAAGCGTTCTATATGGACCTCGAAAAATTCTTCAGAGAAGATCATACATTCTTCAAGGTCATTTTCGGAGATTTTAACGCAAAAATTAGACCTAGAAGAACGTCTGAAAAACGTCACATAGGGACCCACGGACTAGAATGGAATGAACAGGGTGAGAGGCTATCCGAGTTTATCATGACGACCCAAACCATCCATGGTAACTCGCGATTCCAAAAGCCTCTTTCTCAGCGATGGACGTGGGAGTCTCCCAATGGAGAGTACCATAACGAAATAGATCACATCATAGTAAATCGAAGATTTTGCCTGACCGACGTCGCTGTTGTTCCCAAGTTCTACACGGGATCAGACCATCGCCTCCTTCGCGCAACGTTCCGATTTTCGAGAACAGGAGAGAAAGCCCTAAATTCAAACAAGGAAATCCCAGAACTACCATAAACTGAGATGTATTCAAATCATTAGTCGGCTTTTGGGAAGATACCGTTGTCGACAACATCGCCGAAGAATACGATCGACTCGTTGAATATCTTCACGCTAGCGCTATAAAAGCCGAGAGTCCTAAGGTCACGAAGGGACGCTTGTCTCCGCAGACACTCGAGCTGATACGTCAACGTGGAATCGCACGAGCTGCAGGCAACCGAAACCTTACGTCCGAACTTGCGAAACGATTTAGAGAAGCGATAAAAGAAGACCTTAAAGAGAGAAAAGCAGCAGTTATGGCAGAAGCTGCAGAAGCTGGGAAGAGCATTCGCAAAGCCCAGCGAGGCTTCGCCAACTACAAGACCAAGATGATTGCACTCCGATACTCTGACGGGACAGAAGGGCTATGGAGAAAATCATCCATCCACCAATACTACTCGGATCTCTTCGCTAGCCATGTCCTCTTACCGTCATATAAATTGAAAGACGACGAATATGTCTTCCCACCGGTCCTCCCTTCCGAAATCCGACATGCTATATCGTCGGTGAAGAACAGAACAACACCCGGTCCAGACAGGATTAGACCAGAACACCTGAAGAACCTGCCGCCAGTTCTCATTGACACCCTGGCTCGGCTCTTCACTCGCTACCTGTCAGAATGCAAGGTCTATTCAATGAAAAACCAGCAAGACCGTATTGTTGTTCAAAAAGGGAGACCTTCATGACATAGGCAATTATCGTCCAATCTGCTTGTTGTCCGTTGTATATAAACTCTTTACTCGAATCATCCTAAACAGGATCGACAGAACACTGGACGAAGGACAGCCATGCGAACAAGCAGGGTTCCGAAAAGGATTTAGTACCATGGACCACATCCACACGATCACAAAACTCATTGAAGTTTCGCGAGAGTACAAACAACCACTCTGTCTCACTTTTATCGATCTGAAGAAAGCCTTTGATTCAGTGGAAACAGGAGCGGTTATAGAGGCTCTGAATAATCAGGGCGTCCCTACTCGGTACATAATGATCCTTCGTGAGCTTTATAAAGATTTCACTACCAGAATATCTCCATTCTACAACAATATCACCATTGATGTAAAAAGAGGGGTTCGATAAGGCGATACCATATCGCCAAATTATTCACTGCCATCCTACAAAACGTCATGCGAACATTAGAATGGGACGAAATGGGAGTAAAAATTGACGGTCGA